AAGACGACGACGCGGCCAGCGGGTACTCGCCACCGATACCGAAACCGAGGACACCGCGCGCAATGACGAGGAACCAGAGCGTGCCATGGTCCGAGCCGCCGTACGCCGCGGCCGTGAGGATGCCACCGATGATCAAGATGGCGCAGGTCGCAACCATGCAGTTCTTGCGGCCATACATGTCGCCGAGGAAGCCGAACGCGAGCTGGCCGAGGACGGCGCCGATGAGCGCGGCGGTCGAGACATTCGACTTCATATCGGCCGTGTACTCGGCCTTGTATTGGTGCTTGAGGATGATGTTGACGATGTTGATGACCTGGAGGTCGTACGCGTCGTTGAAGAAGCCGAGACCGCGGAGGAAGAACTTGTTGACCATGGCGGGGCGACTGAGGAAAAGGCAAAGTGAGCTTGTTTGAGTTTGTGGGGCGTCCAATTCCATGTATGTGGGCCGTGAGGAAAGGGAAGCTCTTGAGGGATTCTTGGATTCGATAGACTAGACATATGTATGGTGCGGAATGTCAACTTGAAACAGATGGGTGAAAGATGACGCTAGATCGTTCGTGCTCAAAAGACGCCACGCATTCGGTTGAATGGCTCTCGCGTCTTGCTTGAGTTACGTGTGTAATCACAGAGTATTGAGGCGGGCATGGGTGTAGTCGACCTGGATGGTTCTTGAGGGCTCGAAAGGTATGCAGGTGTATGTGATTGAAAAGTGGAAACTCAGACGTTCTTAACGTGGTAGGTATCGTGCAAGGTTTCGAGCGATGATCGAACAAACTTGTCGTCTCAATTGGGAACGCTGGACCGTGAATAAGTCGTTTTAGAAGCGAGCGAGGCAGTCATACGTAGATTGACCCTCTAAAGGGTGTCTGTGAGTATTGATAGGCGTGGACTGCAGATTTTGTAGCGAGGGAAGGGGCGTTGCCGGCAATGGAATATCATGACTCGCTTATCTCTTACGTCGTATGCGCTCGAGCTTTGAGACCGAGAGGCGACGCTGTGGTGCGTTGTTGCGGCGACCTCCGTAGCCTGGCCATCACGATGATCGAGGTGGTGTCGAGTTGGCAACCGCAACACGACGACTTCACAGCACCCTCTAAACTTCGAGGGATGGAAATGCCCCCGCAAGACCTTTCACAGCACCAATGAGAGCTCTACAGTGTGCCTGCTGGACGATATTGACCTCCACGTTGGTCGAGATCGTTGCGAGTCTGCACCAGAGAGAATATCGCGGCGAAGCATGCGCGTTCCCTGGACCCATCAAGATGCTTCGCAGAGAAACGAATGAACGGCACCATCACCCAAGACGTCACGAAACAGAGAGCGTGCAAAACCAGAAGGTGAGCGCGACACGGCCAACCCAGATGTTTCCAACATTCGACACCATACAAAACCTAGGTTAAGCGAATCTGTTGTCTTCTAATGGACTCGATCTTCAACAACTCTCGAGCCCTTTCCTCACGACTTGCCCGCTGCACCATAAAGCTCACTTTGCCTTTTCCTCAGTCGCCCCACCATGGTCAACAAGTTCTTCCTCCGCGGTCTCGGCTTCTTCAACGATGCGTACGACCTCCAGGTCATCAACATCGTCAACATCATCCTCAAGCACCAATACAAGGCCGAGTACACGGCCGATATGAAGTCGAATGTCTCGACCGCCGCGCTCATCGGCGCCGTCCTCGGCCAGCTCGCGTTCGGCTTCCTCGGCGACATGTATGGCCGCAAGAACTGCATGGTTGCGACCTGCGCCATCTTGATCGTCGGTGGCATCCTCACGGCCGCGGCGTACGGC